GGGTGTTTCTGATTTTGATTGGCAGTAATGTGAAAACATTCCATTCATGGTGTGTGGGTGTGTGACCATCGTGTGCATTCACATGAATATAGTTTCATATGATAACCAAAAGAATATAAAGCAAGCTGTCCTGGGCCCAATTCCCATCTTTGTCATTTATTTGCATTGTAAAATGGATTCACCAAAGGGCTTTCCCATGCTACCTTATGCCAGCGAATGAGCCAAGTTCCCAAGATTGGGACCTGCTGCTCCCCCAGGGGTATTTCTTCAAGTTTTCTAGAGCACTTTCCCTTTTCGTGACTACTAGGTCTATTTGACCAGGGTGGCACAGGTGGACTATGGTCGTGCAAGTGGTTGGAGGCTATACAAGCAAAGATGCACTGTGCTTGTTTGGTTGAGTTCACACACTGGTGTCCACACTGTCACCCACAGAGTGTTGCTAATAGTCTTTAGTGGTTTCCTTTGTTAGTACTTCATTATTTCTGTCCCTCCATGAACCTAGGCAGGCAGTGGTGGTGCATACCTTTAACCCCAGCACTCAGGAGGCAGAAGTAGGCAGATCTCTGTGAGTTTGAGGCCAGCCTGGTCTACAAAGTGAGTTCCAGGACAGAGTCCAAGCTCCAAAACTACACAGAGAAACCCTGTCTCCAAAAAAAAAAAAAAAAAAAAAAAAAAAAAAAAAAAAAAAAAACATAAAATGCACACCTAATGTGCATGTTGTTCTCTGAGTAGATGCCTCACTCTGTGAGTTTGAGGCCAGCCTGGTCTACAAAGTGAGTTCCAGGACAGAGTCCAAGCTCCAAAACTACACAGAGAAACCCTGTCTCCAAAAAAAAAAAAAAAAAAAAAAAAAAAAACATAAAATGCACACCTAATGTGCATGTTGTTCTCTGAGTAGATGCCTCAAAGCTGTTATTCCTTCAAATTAAAAATCCTCATACCATAACCCAATATAATATATAAACCTTCCCAGCTTGGTAAAAAGGGGGCGGGTGGGGGGATCTAGATGCTCTTCTTATGTATCCATCAGTGTGGCATTTTGCAGAGCATAGTATTTGAAGAAAAACAAGGCAAAATTCACTTAATAACATCCCAAGCATATGGTGAGGTTCTCAGACAAGTTATTTATGGCCTTGATTAACCTTGCAATATTATTGCCATTTTGAATAGATTTTGCATAACAACATAAAGATATTGTCTGTATCTCTCAACATAGCAGGATTATCTTATCTCTTGTTCTTTTATTTAGCCTTCCCTGCTCTCCCTTACCTCAACATTTCCAGCAAATTGATCATAGGAAGTCAAAGCCTCTGGGTGGTGATGATTTTATGAGTGCCTCTTTCCTGGCACGAAGGCATAGCAACAGTGCCACCAAATGGACAAGGTCTGCCATTGCCAGACCCTGTTTCATGTATTTGCCAGGCGCTTATTTATCTGTATTTTTACATGATACCAGGCTACCATGCAATTTAAGTGTTTCATACCTAATAGATCTTAATTTCTACTAATCTACAGATGCATCAGTTCCTCAGCTCTTTGGTGATATACTGGGTTTGTTACTCTGGTAAACTAGGAAGGTTGGGATTGGCCATGCTAAGCTGTAAATAAAAATCAGATGAAACTATAGAAATGATACATGAAAACTGATAATAGAGCCACAATAATTTCTGTACTGTCCAAAGACAATAAGGCAATGTGTGAGTTGTTCTGCAGCTAGTGGCTGTGAAAGTCACGTCACAAGATAAACATTATTCTCAGGGTGCTTGCTGTGTTATATTACAACAGTTTCAAGGTTAGCAGTTTAGTAAAAACTTACTGTCTTCGATTTTAAATATATAGTGACATGCAGTGAGAGTCAAATAAAGTGAATTTAATTTATAATAATTGGACAGTCTCATATACGCCAGAAAAATATTTCTTGGGACTCCTCTTTTTTTTTTTTTCCATGCCATATACTGAATGGATCCTGCCATGTTGTTATTCAGAACATTGCATTACACATTCTGTGTGAATTCCCAAGGTACATTAAACAATACAAGCAAACTAGTGTTGAGATGGAAAGCTGTGGAATCTCACTGAATGGGCACAGATTCTGGCTCCACTATTTCCTGGCAGGCATGATCCTGGGTTAATGCTAGTATCTGAACGTCTTCTTCTAACAAATGGAGTTAATTATATATAGTGCACAGGCTTCCTGTGGGGCTCAAATGAGATAATCTCTCTCAAGAATTAGCATGGAGTAAATGCGAAGTAAATATAAGTCACTGATGTTGCTGTTCTGGCTATTTGTAGACACTGGTAAGTTGCTGCCACTGTCATTACTGGTAATTTTGAGTTACTTGTAGGCATTAGTAGTGGTATTTTGCATCTACTAAAGGTATTCTATAGATAAGGCTGAACTCTAAAATCAATCCTTAATTTTATTTTCTATCATAGGTTGTGTCACAGGATGTTACCAACCTAAAAATAAATTTACTGATGCATAGGTAGAGAAATACAGTAGACAGGGAAAATGTCTTCTTCACTACCCATATAGATCCATAGCTGAGGATCTATAACAGAAGACAGATTAGTTAAAGAAAAGCATACAAATTAATTGCAATTAAGTTTTATATGTCAAAAGGACCTTCAAAAATAAATGAAGACCCAAAGAAATGATTAAACATGTAAGAAAAATGGCTAAATGCATATTGTCATGCTAGATTTGACAGAGTAGAAACTCGTGGAGAAATATGATTTGATAAAGGTGATAGGATCTATTGGAAAGTTACTGGGAAAACTTAGCAAGGCCTTTTGGTGAGTTTCTTCCCTGTGTTCCTGCATCTTCTGAAATGAGGGTTTTCCAGTCACATAGGTTGTTATGACTTGGTTCAGGGACAGGTCAAAAAGTCCTACCTAGGTTTTATGAGCTGCATGAGAGGCAAAGGTCACGGTCAGGAATGAGTGACCTTGTTGCTTCTTCGGTTTCTCAAATACAAGATACCGAATGTGGGGTAGTGAGGCTTAAACCCCATAAAATCCACTTGGTGACATTTGCCTTCAGACAGACTGGCCCTCCCACGACTTCATGTCACCAGTTCTTACTCCTCTGAAAAGCTCCTGCTGAATATTTTCAAACATTGTGAATTGTTACCATATTTGCTCTTCCCCTCGTATCATTGAATCTATTTTACATTATCTAAAGATGAGCAAAGAAAGGAAGCGGTGAGCCTGCATCATTCACAGAGCTGCATCCCAAACACAATAGGCACTTTCCAAGGGAGGAAGGACAGCATCTGGAGTAAGGGCTTGGAATGAGTGTAGGTGGAATTAATGGCTATAAAATTCAGGGGTGGGCATTTGCCTGAATATCAGAACTGTGATGTTCGGGAAGTTTGGGAAACGCCTGTGAAAATAAATAAGCAAAAGTCTGGTCACTGGAGGCCTCAGTGCTGCTGAACTACCGAGTGAATACCAATGAATTTATTATTGGGAATAATTTTCTATTCCAGTGTGAGTTGATCCAGAGAAGCAATCCATTAGGCCTTTCGCTTGCTAATTTCTCTAGCTATGAAGTAATAAAGCCTAAATTGTCAACTAAATTTTGCTTGCAAATTGCTGAAAGTTTGATTTCTCTGGAGATCAAATGTGGCTTGTGACATGCTTTCTTTCCCCTGTCCTCCCAGCTGTTGTTTCTTGCTACTGAAATGGTGATGCATTGATGTCATCCAGTTACCAAGTGTCTGTGCACACTGAAAGGTGCATCACAGGATAGTAGGCTAAGTGAAGTGATTATCACACAGGGTGTTTGCTACAAATTAAAGAAATACTTGCAAGAGTGTGTTCATAAACAAAAGGACTTTATGCTTATGAATTCCCATCACCTGTGTAATTACTGTTTTAGGGTCCCTTAAAATAAGAACTATATGGAGAATAAGCAAAGTAGTCCCTTTATGTGCAGCCACACTGCTAGCCTTGGTCAGCATTGTGAAGCCACTGTGAAGCCACACTCACTGGTCAGCACTGTGAAGCCACACTCACTGTGGTAAGAAAGCCTTAACACCAACCTCTCTGAGAACAGAAGTAACATTGTGGATACCAGGCTACATGCCAAATTCCAACATGTAATAAAATAAGAAAGCCAAAATAAAGTAATTTTTCATCATTGTTAGCCACATAAGGAAAATATTTAGAATTATGTTCAAAATGGAGTTTGTATTAACTGTAACAAATTTTTCTGCCTATATAGGCCAAAGAGGAAAGACCAAGTTTCATTACTGACAATTGTCTTTCTGGAGGGTTTCTTCTGCTTTGTTTTGTTTGTTTGTTTGTATTTAGTTGTGTTACAAATAATAATGACAGGTTTATTCTGGGGGGAATTTGAGTGTTCACATTTTTATTAGCACCACTTTCTCAGCTTATTTTCATCAGTGCTTACAGTTGTATTCTACACTTGGGGGATGACCCCCACGGCCTAAGATGAAGCAAAGCCAGTCCTTTCCTGTAAATGCAATGTCAAAAACAAAAATTGTTGATATCAAGTGGGAGCTCACAGACTCCAGACTGATAGCTGGGGAATCTGCAGAAGACTGAGCCAGGCCCCCTGAACATGGGTATCAGTTGGGGGGCTTGGGTGGTCTATGGGGCTGCTGGCAGTGGAACAAGTATTTATCCCTAGTGTATAAATGGATTTGGGGAGCCCAATTCCCTATGGAGGGATACTCTCTCAGCCTAGATACAAGCCCCAAATGATGTGACAGACTTTGATGCTTCCCCCATGGGAGGCCTCACCTCCCTGAGGCCTGGATGGGGGCTGGGGTGGGAGGACGGTGAGGGGAGTGAGAGGACAAAGGGAGAAGGAACTGGGAATCGTATGTAAAATAAGATTGTTTTCATTTAAATAATTAAAAACAACAAGAAAATTGTTGATATGAAAATATCAAGGTGAGAATTAGTGTGACAGTGTGCATGAAGATCACTGTGCTGACTGTGCTATCTCACAGGTGTTTTGTCTCTTGCAGCCTGTCAACCAGGGTCATCACTATCAAACAGAAATGAATCCATCTTCTCCATTGAACCCTCGGTAAGAGTCGCTAATAACCTACATGGTATTGGTTTAACACTTTTTACTTAGAGGACTGTGTATTATTCTTGGTTACATAAAATTTATCTGCCAAATTTTTACTGGTGGTGATTGCTGTGTTTTGTTTGTTTGGAGGTTGCTTGGCTTGTTTCAATTTTGACACAGTCTCAACATGAAATAGCTGTCCGGAAACCAGTGTCCAGACAGACTTCATTTCTTTTTGAAATTTTACTCCATCTGCTTTTCTTATCCAAACTGTGTGGTAGTTGTAACACTCCACCTGTGTTCAAATACCTGGTTGTAAGGTTTTAAGCAAGTCATCTAATGCAAGGTCATTCAGACACAATAATTACTTCATGATATTTTGAGGAAGTTCAAATGGACTAAATTCTTAGCATAGTTATTAGCACATACCTAGCTCTTTATGAGCAGTAACTTACTTGTGATTTTCATAATTATGCCATTTTATGGGAATTTGATTCCAGTGTATATTGAGTATGAGTATTTTATATGCCTTTAAATTTGTCAAGATGCCTTATGCAAGTTCAAATAACAATTCACTTTTTTCATTAATTCATAATTTTTAATCTCAAAACATTTGCTACTTCAAAAATGTTATTGTGGTCTGAATCACTTGTTAACATAATTTTAGACTGATTAGGAATAAGCAAGTGTGAATTTGAGCGTTAAAAACTCATACCATAGCTAGTCCATGCTTTCTTATGCATATTCATGGAAGCTAGTTTATTCAGATAAATCATTACTTCATTACTGTTTGCTAGGGGTTTCTTGGAAACCAGTAAATCTTGAGCTCCACTAACTTAGTTACAGGAATGAATCTCTAACCCATTTGTGCCCTGTGGAGTAAGCTGACATCAAGGAAAAACACAGCTCTGGCTCCAGAGTGTGGTTTGTTACATCAGGTTTGACTTCCAACTGCAGTGACTTGGAGCAAAGACAACTTTGCTAGTGTTGAGAGAACTAGGAAGGGAGAGAGAGAAGCAGGAGGGATTTGTTCAATTCGAATGCCATGCTGCATACTAGAAGAGAAAGACAGGCACGGCCCCTTCTCCATTCCTGTTTGCAGCCTCCTTTCTGCTCCATTCTTCTCATTAAACAAGAAAATTGCTGATATGCTCTCTCTGCTGCTCATTTCAAATATGGATGCCTGATAGCTCTTGAATTCAGTTTGTATATGGAGGCTAACAAACATGTCTCAATCTCCATTTCTACTTTCTGGTTTCTACTTTCAATGTGATTGGCTGAGAGTGGACCAAGTATCCATTTCTGGTCCAATCCATGAGGAATAGTGAGCTAAGGCATGGAAGAGTACTAACAAGGTTCCTGGAGACCATCTACATTACTTATAGAACTTTATATTAGACCTGGGAATATTTATGACATGAGTAGAAATTAGCACTCACCCTTGTGTTCCTAGTCCATGCACCTGATAGGATAAGAAGTGTCACTATCACAAATAATGACTTTAAAATTAAGATTAGAATTTCAGCCTTTATAAAAAGGCATTTTCATATTCACTCATAAATAGACAGATGATTGATAGAAAGAAAAAAAGAAAGACACACAGACAGACAGTCACAATCTTGCCTGATAAGTTTCTTTTCCATATGCAAAAAAGCTGGAAATCTAGCTTTAACCCTAGTTATAAAAACTTGAGAATGTGTAGCTTGAACAAATGAGAAGGGAGTAAAATATGCTAGAAAGTAGAGCACTGGCTTCAAAAGAAGAAGTCATCATTCACCCACTAACCTGGTAAATTATCTCAGGCAAGTCTTTCACCCTTGCCAGATTTCCCATCATAATACAAACCTTCTCATGTGTAAAAGAAAGAATTAGAATTAGGTGCCTTCTGAGGTTAGGTCCAACCTTAGGATTTGGTGACTTCCACAAGACTCATTCCTACTATGAAGGGTCACATGGCTTGTCTTTATTTCACTAAGCTGAATAGAAAAGAGTCATAAATACTGGATGAGTGATTGACATTTTGTTGGGTAGTATGTGACTCTGACTATCCCTTTTTCCAGTTGATTTCAAAAATTTAGAATACAAAATAAAACTCACCACCAAAACAGACACTATTTTTCTGCAACCAAGTGTTCATTCACTTAAATACTGGATGAGTGATTGACATTTTGTTGGGTAGTATGTGACTCTGATTATCCCTTTTTCCAGTTAGTATGTGACTCTGACTATCCCTTTTTCCAGTTGATTTCAAAAATTTAGAATACAAAATAAAACTCACCACCAAAACAGACACTATTTTTCTGCAACCAAGTGTTCATTCACTTAGGAAAACTAGTTTACATTTCTTCATAATGAAATTTAAAGAAAAAAAACATAAAAAATAAAATTTGATTTCAAACCCATTTCCTTTCCTGTAATCCATTTTTTACTAAAAAATTTTTATTTAACTAAAAAAAAAAACCTTCAGCTTATGTGGCTTGGCTCCTGACTCACAAATTCAGCAGCCTGGAGAGTTTACAGAAAGGCATTATTGGGCAATAAACATAGAAGATGTTAAAATTTTGAGATCAGCATTATCATCATATAAAGTAAGGTGAATTGATTCATGTAATACATGTGATTTAATTTCAATTGAAGGCTAGCATTATGGTTCATATTTGCATTATAAGAAAACTATTGTGTTTTTTTTATAAGTAATACCCCATATTTTAAAGATGTGAGAAGCCAAGTCTCTAAATACAAACCTCTGGGATAAAAGAACATCTAACCTGAATCCTAGATGGGACATTCTGCTTAGGGAGAGCCTGCACGGTGCCTAAAAAATCAGGCATTAGTGTGATCATAATCATAGCAAGGGCGTTGGAGCAGAGCCAGGAAACATGTGCATGTATGCCCCCTAAGAGCACAGCAGGATGGGACAAGTGACCATATTAACTTCAGTGAAATGCTGCAGCCACTCCAGGCATCCGTGAACCTAAAACTTTTAAATTGTGTATGCTCATGTACATATACATACAGGTTTAAAGTCAACTCTCAATTAGCTTCATTAATGTAACAGACAAGTCAACATCCTCAGGGTCTTTCATTTACATTTTGTTCTGGAAAGATTTTCATTTCTGAAATGTAATTGCTCTCTTCATTTTGTGTGTGCAGGATTAGTAATAAAGATAATATACAGTTCACAAAGCAAGCAAATTCAGGTGATAGAAAGTTGGCTCCAGGTTGGAAATAGCTAAAACACTGAATATATTCATAGCTTGTTTTCTTCACAGTGAAATCATTCACTTACACTCTCAGGGCAGTGCTTGACATTGGATTGAGGTGAGACGCAATGGTAATCATTTTCTTGAGAAGATTACAGTCTAGGAAGTGAAATGTATATGGTTCACCTCATCACATACCCTGCCATGTCTCGGTTTGTGCAGAGCCATTTTCCCATGCATCCTTAGGCAGGGGGTGGCATTTCCCATTATTTTTTCCTAATGCACCAACTAATATTTAGGCACCATCTCAGATGCTGGGCCTCTTTCCTCCCCATCCACTGATGTTACTTCATGGGGCACTGACAGCTTTTATAAGGTACAGAAATGGCTAACATTATCTAATACAATTTAGAGGAGTGTGGGGCAGGAGGAAACAATTTCACAGTTCATTCATGTTGAGAAATGTTTCCTAGCATGTAAACTTGCATGCTGCCAAACAGAGCAAAATGGATCCTATTTGCAGCCTCAAGTCATTTATTTGAAAATGCCATCTATGGGTTTGTGGGTTTAGAGCCGTCCCTTAGGCACAGCTATTTATATGTTTATGTAGATTCTTCAGAACTACCAGTAGACGGTATTTTTGCCCAGTAGTGAATTTTATGAAATAATCTGTGATTATGTTCTGGTTATGTATTCATGTGGATAGAGTTGACTGTCAGTCTTTTCTGTTGAATAGGGATGCTGCTTGCTATTTTATAACCTATTGGAAATTTAAGGAGAGGAAGGAATGGAGTCGAAGGCTTTATAAGGTTTTAAATGTTTATGGAAATAATATCGAAAACAGTTCTAGAATCTCCAAGCAGCAGGAAATGGTACTGTTTTATAGTGTTTGCTTTGTGGCTTATCACTATTTGTAGATTGTTTGGGTTTGGGGTTGGGCTGTTGGTGTTGTTTAATGACATTGCAGAGTATGTTTGGGTCTAATCCTTACGGCTCTGCCACATTTTTGTGTGATATAAACATACTTACAACTGCAATTATCTGATAAAGCCCTGAAGACTCTGACAAATGATTAATAACCAATGACCTTAATTCCTGCTGACTCAGCCCACCCAGTGCGAGCAAGGTGCACCCTACACTAGGCCTCCTCCATTTCTCTTTTTTCCATTTTTCAGTATTCTGCCTGATGGGGTGCTCTTCTAATGCTCAAGCCTCCTTTCTTCTGGCACAAGAAAGAAATGACACACAAATGAGTCCATGGAGCTTTCCCCTCTGATTCCTCTTCACCATATTCTTAAAACAGGACAGATGATGTCCTTCCTAAGCAAATATTCCATCCCTCTCATTATAGTGTTAGTGTGTTCTCCTGTCGCCTGGGCTTTGTGTTGCCTCTACCTGTGTATACAGAGGCACAGATTGTCTTTATCATTTCTCTTGCTAGCTTTTTATGGGGAAAGATATCAGCACCTCTGATTTTGTAATTCCATCACTACAGATTCACACTTGCTTGCTTGAGGCCCCAATTCTCCATATTTAGAGCTCCAAGCCTATGTTTTGGGTCTAAGCCTGTGGTGCCATGTGGGGCAGTGGAAGCTTGGGAGGTTGAGCCTTGAGGGGAATGTTGAGATCTAAACTCCCACCTCCCCTGCAATGCTCTGTGATGTGTGTATGTGGTGTGTGTGTGTGTGTGTGTGTGTGTGTGTGTGTGTGTGTGTGTGTGTGTGTGTGTACATGCACCTCCTGGCTGTCATGAAAAGACTGTTGCATGTCTCCTACTGTGGCGTATGGGTCCAGATCTACAGAGCCAAGAAC